TTTGGGTGAAAACCCCCTTCTACCCTCTCTTGGCACCCTGCAGGCACAAAATAAGGAATTTCATCCTGGGAAAATGCAGGCACACAAAACAGCTCGTCTGAGAGCCAGCACTGATAATTACAACTCATTATCCTCTAAACTGACACAAAGAAGAGCAGAGCTGGAGCCAGGCAGGTTCCAGTCAGCATCCACCCTCTGGGCTACCCTTCTGCTCTCCCTCCATCCCTGTGGGTCACTCTCAGTGTGAGGAGAGCACCCCAACCTGTCCCTAGACCTGAAGGTGCCCCATGGGTGCAGAGCCCTCCAGGCATCGTGCTCAGAAGCACTGGGAGGGTGCAGAAGTGGCTCCTTACAGGGTGCAGAGGGGGAGTGTAGGGCATGTACAGGGCATGAGGGTCTCAGGGATGCAGCCCAAGCCATCTGGGTTTGCTGCACGAATGAAACCATCACCATGTGTGAGGGTTTTTTGCCATTTTTGTTTGGGTAAATTTGCAAGGAATGGGACTGTCCTGGTGCTGCAAGATGCTTGGTGTCACCCTCATTAATTTCCTTCTCCATCCTCCAAGCCCCTCAACCTTGACTTTTTCTATTTATCCCCACTCTTCAAACCCTGACTTTTTCTGTTTATCCCCTCTCTTCATTCCCTTCCCATGTCAGGGTCCTGCTCTGCCAGCACAGCCCAGTCTGGGCTAGGAGGCACCAGCTCAGGACTAGAAGCTGCCGGGGGTTATGTACCCTCATCCTCAGCCATCATCACAGCCCAGGACCCCTCCCCACCTTTCAGCAGGTCATAGGCTCTGTGCACATCGAACTTGCGAGCACGGATGAAGCGGAGCAGGAAGGAGTCATCCTTCTCCTGCACCTTCTCAGCCACCTTCTGGCAAACGTCCTCGCCGCCCGCCCGCTCCTGCACCAGCTCCCGCAGAGCCTTCACTGCCACCTCCCTCTTCTCCTCCGTCTCGTTCAGCTCATCCTTTGCCTGGGGGAGCAGAGAGGGGACCCAGTGATGCCATGCACACATTCTGTAACACCCCAGGGTTGTGGAGGAACCCACAAATTGGGGGAGGACAGTAAAACTGCTTGCAGCATCCTGGTATACAGAGGGTAGGGTCACTCGAGTCCCCAGCTTGGAGACATTTTGGTAATGCCTTCAATGCAAGAGTCAGTCGAGGGTCTCCTCTGGCCCCTGAGGAGCAGGAGCCTCAGGCTGCACTGCCCCTCGTTCCCCAGAGCCACCTCACCTTCTGCAGGGTGTGTGGGGGGATCTTCTCACACCTCCCAAAGACGGGGCCGTGGTCCTTGGTGGTGAGGCGCTCCAGCTTGGCGCGCAGGGCCTGCTCCTCCTCCGACACGATCCGAAATGTGCCCGTCTGGGGGGGTGGGGAGAGGATGTGGGGGGTCCCCAGACAGCCCCCCAGCTCCCTGCCCCACTGCAAGTCTCCTTGGGAGCTATGGGGAAGGGGAGAGGCTCCACACATGCACCCAAGGGGTGCAGTGGGATAGGGATGGACTGTGTGCTGCTCGGACTGTGGTGTGCCATGTGCACCCCATCCCAGCACTGCAGGGAGGGCATGGTCAGAGCCCAGAGGATGGGGCAGCGTGGGGACAGTACTCACGACTGCAGACATGTTGTCCTCTGTCTTCAGTTGGCAGCAGGACACTGGCAGAGGGAAGAAGGAATCAGCATGGATCCAAAGCGTCTCCACGGCCTCGCTTATACCCCATTCCCTGCCCATCTTCCACAGAGGGGGGCAGGAGTGAGTGTCCAGAGGACACCCCCAATCCTCCTCAGCTCCATCACCTACTGCCTGCATCTCTGCCTGCAGGAGGCTGAGCAGCCTGGAGAAGCACCAGGGATGTTTGCAAAAGCAGCTTAAAAATCTGTGTATTGATCATCCCTTCATATGTTTTTCTCACTCTGCCTTTCCTCTTTGGACTGGGGGCATCTCAGACCACCTTCACATGGGCAGAGCATCCAACTTTGGCCAGGCAGCCAGCTCATCCTTTTATTTCTAATACCAGAAGAAATAATATTACCAAAATAAATTCTTATCCCTGAAGTATTTCCCAAATTCTCAGGTCTCAGTGCTCCACCAACTGCAAGGCTGGACTATAAACCTCTCAGCATTTCCAACGCAGTCTGGGTGAAACACCTTGTTCCCATCCATAAGGAGCAGGGCTGCCTTCATCCTGCCTCCAGCATCTACCCCTGCCTGGCTGTAGCACCAGCTCCAAGGCTGTGAGGAATGCTTGGCTCCAGCTCAACCATTTTCCAGGGGCATCCTCTTTAGGCATCCCCTTGTTCCAGGCACTAAAACCAATTCAAGCTCTGGAGGTGCTGCGTTGAGCGGGGGCTGGATGACGGTCTTCAACGCAGTTCTTTCAGCTGAAAAATATCCTGGATACTCACCAGGAAGAGGAAAAGCTGAGCTGTCCACACAAGGTCAGAACACAGAGCTGAGATGGATGCAGGGATGGCGAGGCTGGAGTGGAGCAGCAAGGAAGCCGGGTGAAAGCTTTGTAGAGTCACCGGGTTGGGATTAGACCGTCACAAGGCATCAACTCACTGCAGCTTTGTAATTAAGTCAGCCCAGCCCAGGAAAGAAACCCCATTAAAACATTACAAAAGGCAGCTGAGGAGAGGGAAGGAGGGAGCTGGGGTTCCACCAGCAGCCGGAGCGTGCGTGGAGAGGCGGACTGGATGCCGGACCCGATTAACAAAGTATAAAAGCTCCTTGTTGTGTAACTCGCTCATTAGCACGGGGCAGGGGCAGAGGCAGGTGGTGGGCAGTCTGCCATCCCAGCCTGCTCCCCGGGGTGAGCAGGACAGGTCTCTTCCCCAGCTTCTGCCCCAAAAACCCTGGCGAGGTCCTGCTGTGAATTTGGCCGCGTGGGCAGGGTCCAGCTGCGGGGATGGGTCTGTGGCAGAGGATGCTCCTGGGGCTCTCTATTCCTCCCCTATGAGGCCTCCCAAACCAGCATCCAAAGAGGCCCCTTTCAGCTTAAAAAAAAAAATAAATAAAAAGATACAGGCAAAATTTCTACAATGCCCTCAAGTGATGATTAACTGTTCAGAGCTCTGGGACCTGGAACCCATTAACCCATTCTACCCACAGGGAGATGCCACAGACCCATAAGGGAGGGGAGCCCTGGGATGTAGGAGAAACAAAGGTGAGTCCACGCGTGGATGCAGCAGGATGGCAAAATGGGTTTTCTGAGATGCCCCAGCATGCTGAAGCTACATAGGGCAGGAGAGCCCATGCAGCTTTAATTCTTTGTGTCAAGGGCTGTGGGAGCTGGGTGGAAATGTGGTGAGGATAGAGCTGCACTCAGGAGAGAGCTTGGCCAGGCTCTTACCATGATGGGGATTTTGGGGAGGTGGCAGGGCCGGGCTAAGCACCAGAGCAGGGCTGAAGGGGCTTACACAAGGCATGTTTTGTAATGCCTCTGGGATTTACGGATTTGGTTTCCACACAGGGCTGTCCTGCGAGCAGAACTGAGACCCCGATGTGAGGAGGAGGAAGGCACGAGACTCCAAATGAAAGGCAGGGGTGCTGAGGGAAAATTCGGACCTGTGTCAAAACCCTGAGCAATGCTGCTGTGGCCAGAGGCACTGAGCACTGCTCTTCAGAGGAGACCCCCACCCCTCCCATCCCTATTCCACATCAGCCCTGGTGCAAGGCTCAGCTCCCTCCTACATCTCGTTGGACCTTGGTGTGCAGCTCGGCACAAGATAGCGCACAACAGGGGTACATCATCAGCATGGGGTTTCCCAAACAGACCCAATAATGCTCTGTTGGGGTGCCAGAGAGAACCTGTGATTGCTGGGCACCTGGCCAGCATGGTCATCATAGGTGAAATAGTTTTGCAGACGCATGTACAACCCCTGGCATCATGAAGTGAGTGTCTTGTCCTGAGTAAATGGGCACCCTGATGTACTGTGACAGATCCCAAAGTGCATTTCTCCTCCAGACCTGGTTATCCCCCTCCCCACAGCCCCATGTCAAACGCACTGCCCTTGCTCTGCAGCATCAATTCTCACTCCACGTGAGCACGGGGTTTGAGAAAGCTCCTGCACTGTGCTGGCACCGGATCCTTTGGCCAAATCCCGCTGCTTAAAGGCGGGCTACACCTCCTGGTACGCTGAAGGCCACCCCTCACGTCCCCTGGAATTAAAATTACTCGAATGTATCTGAACCCCACGTGGACAGCACTCAGAGCTGGTGCGGATGCCCTGAATGGGCACTTTGTGCCAAATGCCCCTTGTTATAAATACATATTATGGTATTGGTTTTTCGCAAATATTAGCGAGGATACTGTATGTGTGGTGTTGAAATGGTTTTTTAGATATAGTTTTCTTTAGGAGTAACATGGGCTGATAAATGTAGTAAGTGAACTACCTGCTTGGTTGGATAATATCCAGTGAAGACACCCGATCCTGATACACCAGTTACCAGCACTGACCATCTGCAGAAATTGAAGACCACAGCCCAAATTAAGACCAATAAGAAAAATTAATTAAACCACAGCAAAAAACCACATGTGTTAAAAAGGCAAACAGTTCCTGGAATATGGAAAATAGTTCCTAGAAAAGCTTGAAAATGTATGATGGTTCCATGAATATACTGATGAGTTTAAGGGGTATCTCCAAAGCAGCAGGGGTGCTCTTGGCTGAATGCCAAGCACCCTGCTGTTACAACCTTTGCTTCATTGTTTGTGTCTTTATGTCTTTTATTAAACCTTTTTAAATCTACCAGGAAAGTGAACCCGTTTTCCACACCCGTAGCCCCGGCTGCCCACCCCACTCCAGTCACTTTTTCAGTGTATTAGAACAGGCTGCCCAGAGAGGCTGGGAGTTTCCCTCGCTGGAGATATTAGAACCATGCAGCTGCAGTTGTGTACCCTGCGCTCTAGGATGACCCTGGCAGTGTCGGGAGAGCAGGACAGGAGCCGCCCCGCGGTCCGTGCAGGCCGGCCCGCTCCGTGCCCGATTCACTGGCGCTGCCCCGGCGGGACTCGAACCCGCGGCCCTGCGGGCGGGAAGCGCGCGCGGGGCGGGAGCCGTTCCCCGGGTGACGCGCGGGCACTTCCGGGCGGGAATTTCGGGGGCCGGAGCCGCGATCCGGCGCTCCCGGGCGGCCCCAGCCCCATGGCGCAGCGCATCCTGTCGCTGGCGGCCGAGGAGGGCCCCGAGCGGCTGCAGGAGGCCCTGCAGAGCCTGGCGGAGGGCGAGGTGCGCGGGGCCCGCGGGCCGGGCGGGGAGGCGCCGCCGGGGCTGCTCCGCGGGCGGCTCACAGCGTCCCCTTGTCTTGCAGCTGGGGGACATGGTGACCAGGCAGGCCCTGAAGGGCAGGGAGACGGCGGCTTTGCTGAGAGGGATCTTCAAAGGTGGGTGATGTGTGTGCAGCACAGGGAAGTGTCACTTTGGGTCAGGGCTGTCACAGGGGAGCACCACAGCCATAAATGCGTGTGGGGAGACAGCAAACTGGGCTAGAGTGTGATGAGCCCGGGCTAAGTGCCCTTTACTTTTGAGAGACCTTGGGTACCTTGCTGTAGAACTGAGCTGGCCGGATGACAGCTGATTGCCAAGCTGGTTCTCTCAAAATTGTGACACTTCCTGATCTCTGGCAGCAGGCTGAGTGAACCACAGGATGTGATAACAGAGTGGCCAATAATTTATCCAAGTATCTTCATTTCCCGTTCTCTGGGTTTTTTATTTATTTTGCTGGGCAGGTAAAATAGGCAGTTGCAGCAAGGTGATTTCCTGTGGTTTAGCAACATGTTGTTACTTGCATAACTTTTCCCCCGTTCTTTTGTCCCTCTGTTTGCTTGCTGTAAGGCTCCCCCTGTTCCCAGAGGAGCGGTGTTCTCAGGAGACTCCAGGTTTACAAGCACTGCGTCCCACTAGTGGAGTCAGGGGACCTGCATTTGAGCAAGGTGTCTGAAATCATAGGACTGCTGATGCTGGAGGTAAAGCTCCTTTGGGCTGGCTTTCCTGGGCTCTGCTGAGTCTAATTTAATATGTAAACTGAGATAGTTCACTAAGCCACTGAGATTAATTAGTTTATCCTTTCCATGGATCTTTCCTAGACTAAGTTAGCTGGATCTGTGTGTGAATTTGATTATCTTTAGGTGTTTAGTCTTAGGCTCAAAAGTCTAAACCTAAAATTACATTTAACAATCTGTTCTGAAAAAAACAGTACAAAACAGACATCTCAGGGCTGAATTTTCCTTTAAAGGGAGCATTTCCCTGAAATTCTGTCTTCTGCTGGGTTTTGGTGACAGTTTGGACATAGATATGGCATTCTGTGTGCTGCCTCAGGCTCTCTCCTGTTGTATGTTCTCCCAGGCCCGCCAGCTGCCAGGCCATGCGTTAGCAGAGCTTGCCAACCTGTTTGTGGATGTTATCAAAGGGGGCAGCCTGACCAATGGGAAATCCTTGGAGCTGTTTTCCACTGTTCTCACGGCACTGGCCAGTTCAAAGGAGAACCTGGCTTATGGGAAAGGTAACCCCTATCAGCTCCTCTGCAGCTTGTCCTCCCTTCCTCTGGAATCAACTCCTAAGACTTTTGCTTTTTCAGGTGAACTGAATGGGGAAGAGTTTAAGAAACAGCTGATAAATACCCTCTGCTCCAGCAAGTACGTATGCCTGGCAGGTCTTGGTTACGTGGCAAAACATTGTGTTTCACATTGTGCTTGGAAAAAGACATCTCCATGAGCTGTGTGTCCTCATCCTTGAATCTGTGCCCTCTGTGACAGTGTCTGCTCTAGCTGGGAAGGCAAGGGAGCACCCTGTTCCCAGATCTTGTGAGACTTTTGCATGAGCTGGTCTTGGTTTTGTTCCTTTTCTGGCATTTGTTATTAAAGGAGCTGGGGCAGTTCAGAACTATGGAAATGTGGGTGGTTCGATTAGTGTTGATGATTTCTGGTGGAAATCTGTGCTTCTAATTTTAGTATCAGAATGTAACAGGGAAATGTTGACGGTGAGTAATTGTGTAGGAGGGAAGAGCTAAATGATAATCTGCTTTGCTCTCAATCTTCCAACATACCTTTGTTTTACCAGGTGGGATCCTCAGTGTGTAATACATCTTGCCAACATGTTCAGGTAATTATTTTTCTCTTCAACATTGACTTGTGCTGTGGTCCTGTCTGTGTCCTATTTCACAAGCAGTTTTGGGCAAGTAAGAGGTTGGACCATACCAGGCAAAGCACCATGGATGGTTGGTCAGTGAGCATCCACACCAGATCCATTTGGATGCAAAACACATCTGGGCATGGGATCATGGTTTTTATTCCATATGTGAGTGAACCTTGGCAAATAAACAACATATTTATGAAAAAAAAAAAATCTTTGGTTCGACAGGGATATTCCACTGTCAGGAGAGGAGCTGCAGTTTGTGGTGGAAAAGATCCTGAGGATGTTCTCCAGATTAGACCTGCAGGAAATTCCCCCTCTGGTCTATCAGCTGCTGCTGCTTTCTGCAAAGGTAAAAACTCACAGGAGCTGAATTTCCCCCAGGTTTTTTCCATCAGAAAAAAAATGTCCAGAGTCATCTATAGTCTCAGTTTTTGCAGGTATTCTGATTGTTCCCAGACCACATTGTTGGACATAATGGAACATCATTAGGTTTTGTTTCCTCTAATTCCCTCTAGCCTGAATAAGCTGACTGCTCAGAGAAAGATGAGATTGTGGTCTTCCTTGTGGGAAAAGAAGCAAACCTTTGGAAAATAAGGGATGAGCACAGACCTAGCAGACAGCATTGGTTTTTTTTCCGTTTTGCTCACTCTCTGTGACCTGCATGCTACAATAATAGCTGATGCACTATGATTGTCTACTGGGCTGTAGTCTGACTTGTACTGGGAATGTGTCATCTCCTGTGCTCTTCTCCAGAGCAGAGACTGCCAGGGACATCTCTGCCCTTTGACAGGGTGATCTGGCTCTTTTCCTTGCTTCATTTGTGACCAAAAATGATCCAAAGACAAATTATATGTGTGTTATACAGGGTCAATAGGGTCCACTGGCCAAAATGTATTGTTACATTTAAGGTTAGGAGTTTGAAAGCCTTCCCAATTGATTAAAACATAAAGTATCCTTTCTAATTAATCACAACTTCAAACAAACAAAAAAAAAAAGACAATCAGAACACCCAAGAGCTTGAGTTTCTTCCAGCTATTTGGTAATGCAGTCAAAAGAAATAAATGCAGTCAAAAGAAATATGAAAACGGGAAATCTGGAAATGAGCCATACAGGAGCACTCACCTGCCTTAGCAATTTATGGAGGGAAATGAAGGATACCCTGAGATTTGTGATGGGTGAGGGAATTGAGTGAGCGTTGTTCTCTGGGATACTGCAGGCCTTGCAATGGCTTAATGTAATGTCCTGCCTTGCAGGGCAGTAAGAAGACTGTTCTGGAAGGAATAATCAGCTTTTTCAATCAGCTGGATAAGAGACAGAAGGAAGAGCAGAGGGCTCCACAGTAAGTTCTTGCTCTGTCACGCCCTTTCTTTACTACCTGGCTATTTGTAGCTACATTGGTCCTGCCCAGGGCTTCCTGAATTTGAACTGTTAAACCTTGTCTTTTTTGATCCATAAGGAGTGATTTCTGGCTTTGAATGGCTTGTTATTTTCTGGTAAAACTTACAGGTCAGTGGACCTTGAGGTGGCCACAATGCCCCTGGACCAGCTCCGCCATGTGGAAGGCACTGTGATTCTCCACATTGTTTCTGTCATCAACCTGGACCAAGACCTGGGTGAGGAGCTGATTAGACATCTGAAGGTATGGCAAAGATGGAGCAGCCACTGTTCTTGAGGATACTGAAGCAGGGTTTAAAAGCTTTGTTATCTGGACAAGGTTTTTAATAATTTTTATGAGTGCAGTCATGTTCTCTTTAGTGAGTGCTGTGATATGTTTGAAGAGACATGTGCCTGATGGCTTCCTGAATTTCCAGGGTGTTTCAGTTGAAGATAACAAGTTTTCTCACTGCTCCTTGCTGTTTCCTAGACTGAGCAACAGAAGGACCCTGGTAGAGCCCTGTGTCCCTTCAGCGTGGCTCTTCTGCTGTCAGTTGCTGTAAAACACAGACTGCAAGAGCAGGTATGTGCTTGATAAGGTTGCAGAGAGCTTCCATGGGGATGCACTCTGCACTCCCTGTAAAGAAAAGGAAGCATGGTCAGGTCAGAGTCCCATCAGAATTAGGCTTAAAAAGGTTTCAGGATGCTCATGGGTAGGCAGTTAGATCATTGGTATGCTGTACTTTACTAAACACTGTAAAAGACCTCTGAGCAATATCGCAGTTTTCCAGAGCAGTGATTCCTGAGGGTTGGTATTGTAGGATGAGAAGAAAAGCAGTCTTATTTTTCTAATGTTTTGGCTCTGAGGTGGCCACATGAAGAGCATCTGGCAGCAAGTCACCATCCTTGAGGCACTTAATGAGACTGGTGTATTTGTCCTGACAAAGAAATGAGTTAAGATTTTTGGCAGGCTGTAGTGGAACTTTTGTCTGGCTGGTGCTCTTACTGGAATATACCCAAGATTATACAGGTCCCATTTCAAAGATCATTTCCTCACACTTAATGATTTTATGTTCCAGATATTTGATTTCTTGAAAACATCAATCACAAGAAGCTGCAAGGACCTGCAGTTCCTTCAGGCCTCCAAGTTTCTGCAGGATTTGTTTCCTCAACAATATGATATAACTGCTGTCATTCTGGAAGTGGTGAAAAATAGGTGAGTTGCTGCCACGTGCTGCAGAACATTCAATGGGCTTTGGGAGTGGGGAGAGTTTCAGCTTTGTTTAAAAACTCTGGGATGCTAAATACTTCTGACCATGTGCCGGCAGGGATCAGTGTCAAAATCCAAAGGTTTTATCCCAGTTTTATATTAGCGAATTAAAAAAAACCCAACAACATGCGGTTGTATAAATCTGTTCATTCTACCTCAAATCTCTGGTGGTACAAAGGACTAAACTGATCAGGGCCTAATCTGCAGTGTTGAGTCATGCTGCTGGCTGTAGTTTGTGTTCTGATCAAGGGATGAGGAATAAATTCACTGTTTAATCTGGTTCACTGGTTAGTC